ATGTTTGTCCCTGAAACCTGAACACACACAACTGCAAACACAGAAGCAGAAACTTACAAATACAAGCGCACAACCCCACACACAAGTATGAATACACAGCAGCACACAAATACCAACACAATCATACACACAGAAGCACAAGGCCACAAATACAAACACACAACCCACACAAGTACAAACACACAGCCACACCCAAATACCAACACAATCATACACACAGAAGCACAAGGCCACAAATACAAACACACAACCCACACAAGTACAAACACACAGCCACACCCAAATACCAACACAATCATACACACAGAAGCACAAGGCCACAAATACAAACACACAACCCACACAAGTACAAACACACAGCCATACCCAAATACCAACACAATCATACAACAGAAGCACACAAATACAAACCACAACACACAAGTACAAACAACAGCCACACAAATACAAACAATCATATACAGAAACATACAAACACAAATACAACAACAATACAAATACACAGCTACAAATACATAATCACACACACAAAACAAAACAAGCATACAACTACAAACATATAGCCACACACAAATAGCAACACAGTCACACACATAAGCACAAGGCCACAAATACAAGCACACAACTCCACACAAGTACAAACACACCATCACACACATAAGCAGAAGGCCACAAAACAAGGACGCAGGTGTATATACAAGGACAAAGCAACGTGCTTTGTATGCTGGCCCGAACACAAACATGAACGTAAATGTAAGCCGACAATCACACAAAATATAAACTTATGTAATACAAAAACACACAAGCAGAAATTTACAACCTCACACAATCACACAAAGTACAAACACTGTTACACAATACATTAATACCAAGCACAGGTACGAACATTACATTTCAGCAAAAGCATACAACCACACAAGGTACGAATTTACCCAACTACAGACCTAGCCATAGCCCTAAGCAGAAAGTCAAAGTACAAACTCAAACACATAAAACCACAATCACATGTAGAAATGTGAACAATCTCAGATAACCATAATATAAACATGTACAGTTATGCACATAAACAAAACCACACCACATTCGAACATAGACACAGCCACACCCATACATCTAAAAAGACAACCGAAGTCACATACCCACATATGCCCAGTTGTTTGTGTTTTCGAGGGTGGTTGTGTCTTTGTACATGTGTATGCCTTCATAGGTGTAAATACAACCTTATACTTGGCATTTTACCAAGCCTGAGGTAGCTGTGTGTTGATGGAGACTCATTTCTGTCTCCTCAAATACCCTGGAGAACTTCCCTCCGCTCAGGCTGAGTAGCAAGGCCAGGACACTCTTCACTCCTCTCCTCTCCAGCAGGTTTGCTCATCTCTACTACTGACTTACAGGCTGACAGTGTGCGGTGTGCTTCAGCTGGACCTCTGCAGACGGACTTCCACGGATAACAGAGCTCATGTTTTTAAAGTTTACAAAATGTTTCCCCATCCCAGCCCCATAACTCTTTGAGATAGGTGGGGAATGACCATCACTCTAATTTTATAGATCAAGAAACTGAGGTTCCAGGTCAAGCAACTTGCTCAAGATCATAAGTAGAAGAGATACCACTTGAACTCCGCTCTACCCATTACCAAGTCCAGGGCTCTTTCCACCATCCCTCACTACCTTTCTACAACCAAGGCTTTCTTACCTGCTCTCATGGGAAAAGCTTCATTTTCCCTTACCATCTCCTACTGATATCTGGGACCAAAAGGTCCTGAGACTCAGACTTAACACTTCACACTTCTCCTCAAGGTGTGATCAAGGTGTGATAGTGATAAATCACTAACTAGCTTGGATAATTTTTCTGAACCTCAGTTTCCTCATCTGTAAACTGGGTAGGGTATTGAGATGGGTTGAGATTTATGCCCTGTCTGATGGGGTCCCTTTCAGGTTATTATGATCTTAAAGCTTAGGATAATTGGGCCTAGAGCTGAAAGGTATCTAGGTCAGGGGTCCTTACCCTCTTTGTGTCATGGATGCTTTGACCTTGTCTGGGGAAGCCTGTGGCCCTCTTAGAATCTATGTTCATACTTGAAGGAAATACTCAATCTCAGTTAGAGATAAGCAAAAATAAAGATGTAATTTTTCCCTACCCAAGTTCACAGACCCCCCAAAATCCCTGAACCCCAGCTTAAGATGAAATCACTGTCCAGACCAAACAATCCTGTTCTAGACCAACAATCTTATTTTGCAGTCTAAGGCCCAGAGAGGAAAATGGATTGACCTAAGGTCACTTCGGGTAAGGAATCATCAGAGCTGGAATTTGAACATGGCCACTAGATTCCCAACCTAGTGCTCTTTTGACCCCGCCATTCTTCACTAAGCCAATTCTCCACTGCGATGCTGGGTTGGAGAACTGAAGGAAGAATGAGACTTTTTTTGCCTTGTTCCAAGTTGTGACTAGCTCAGGGGGCAGACTGTACTGCTTTCCTGGGGGTGATCCTAGACCACTCTTGGCTGGAAGTCCGATCTTATTATCACTCTTGACATCTTCTGCTTCAATCGGTGCCTTCCCCCAGCCTGTTTCCCAACTCCAGCTCCTCAGGAGGCTTCATTTATCTGTTAACCCCCTCTGGGGCCTGGAGCCCTGAATGCTAGGAGGATTAGGAAGTGGGATTCATATCCTTTCATACCACATGGAGGGTCCAGGCTCCAACCTCCTTTTGGTAAAAAGCCAGGATAGGTTTAAGGGAAGGGGGGTGGGGGGAAGGATACTGCTTCTGTTAGAATCCCCCCCCCCACTTCCTTTGTTCCAGGGAGTTGAGCCTTCCCTGCTGAACTGCTATGATCTCTCTTGAAGGCTTCTGAAGGATTCGGGAAGGGTGAGCCCAAAGGAAGGCTCAGGTCTTGGTCTGCCCACCCTGCTCCATCCTTGTATTGTGCTGAGCAGTAGCATTATTACTATCCTTCCTGGAACAAACTACACTGTCATCCACGATTAGGGCACAGAAAGTATCCCTTGCCCCTCTTAGGCCCCCCCTCCCCCGCCAAGGACTGGATGTATGTGTATGGATTTATCCACTGTAAAAACCAGTCCTTTTCTACAAGTAACACAAGATTCTTTATTGTCTTTTTCCAGGTGAGGAAATCAAGTCTTGTACAGCTAATAGGTGGTGACGAAGCCTGGATTCGACTCAGGCCTCCTGCCTTGAAACATGGCACACTCTCCATCACTCCTCTCTGCCTATCACTGACTTTGAGTCAGAAGGCAACCTAGAGGCCATTAAGCCTAATTAGCCCCCTCAACCATCTTTGCATCGTTCAGAACTTTCAGTCAGACCTTGACTTTGGGTGCTCCTGTTTGGAGTTTTCTTGGCCAAGATACTGGAGCAGTTTGCCTTTACCTTTTCTAGCTCATTTGACAGATGAGAAAACTGAGGTAAACAGGGTGAAGTGACTTGACCAGGGTCACACAGCTAGTAAGTGTCTGAGGCCAGATTTGAACTCAGGTCTTCCTGATGCCAGGCTCGTCACTCTATGCACTGCACCACCTAGCTGCCCTTGTCTTTGCGTTAGGTGTTTCCAATCCATGGAAGGCACATTCTCCTTACCTCTGAGACCTCTTAAAATCTTTGGCTCTCTTTAAAATTCAGCCCAAGAGCTACCTCCTACAGGAGACTTATCTGGAGCCCCCACAGTCCCCCATCCCTGCTCCCATTACCTTGTATTACTTTGGATGTCCCTTGTATATATTTTGTATTCATTTACACATGCTTGTCCTTTCTCCAGATATAATAGAAACTCCTGGAATTCAGAGACAACTTCAGTCTTGTCTTTGTCACTCCTCTGGACAGTGCCTTAATAGAAAAATTTGTTGATTGATCTTCAGATGAGGAAACTGAGGCCCAGAGCCAAGAAGTAATTTGCTCAAGGCCACGTATATCGTGAGTAGTAGAACATAGACACCAAATCTAGGACTCACACCCGTAGCCACACACTTTCTCAACCAGGATACCTTGTGAGTTATGTCTGGTTGGGTCAGGGCTGTGGCCTCAAAGCCAAGGAAGGTGAATTAACTCTATGTTTAGGGTCATGCTTTGGGCCTGTTCAGGAGATGGCTCTAATCTGGGTCTGATGTTAGACAGACAATACTAGACAGGTGTCGCCTCTGTGCTGCTACAGATTTGCCAGATGATTTTGGATAAGTCTCTTCCTCTGACTGGACCTCAGTTTACCCCCTCGGTAAGACTGGTTTGAGGACAGCTAGGTAGCACAGTGTTTGGCCTGGATTTAGGGAGACTCATCTTCCTGAGCTCAAATCTGGCCTCAGACACTTAACTAGCTGCGTGACCTTGTACAAGTCACTTAACCCTGTTTGTCTCAGTTTCCTCATATAGCAAATGAGCTGGAGAAGAAAATGGCAAATCATTCCAATATCTTTGCCAAAAGAACCCCAAATGGGGTCATGAAGAGTTGGACACGACTGAATTACACAGCTAGTAAGCATCTGAGGCTGGATTTGATCTTAGGAGGATAAGCCACTCCAGGCGTGAGGCTGTATGCACTATGGTGCCACCTAGCTGCTCCAAATTCTATAGCCAGCAGAACAGTCTAATGGAAAGAAAGCAAGTTGAATTTGAAGGCAAACTGGGTTCAGATCCTAGCTCTGTGTGACCTTGTGCAAGTCACTTAAGCCCTGTGCCTTAGTCTCCTTACCTGTAAAATGAGAGGTTGGACTAGATAACTTCTAAGGTCCCTCCCATGTTTAGCATTCTATGTCTCAAGTTTTCTCCAATTCTGACATCCTGTTTTCTAAGTCTGCTAGGGGGTGAAGTGGATACAGCAAGGATACAGTGGAATCAGCAAGATCAGAGATCAGATATAGCCTCAGTCACTTCCCTGCCATCTGCCTCAGTTTTCTCCACTGTAAAATGGGGATAAGAGTACCCACCTCCCAGGGCTCTTGTGAGGATCAAATGAGATAATTTGTGTAAAGTGCTTTGCTTGACACACAGTAGGTGCTTAATAAATGCTTGTCTCCTTCCTTCCTAAGTTCTCTTCCACATTTGACATTCTATATTTGAAAGTCTCCAACAGTGCTAACATTATGGCTTTGCTGTGCCTCTAGCTACAGGAAATTCTCCGACTTTCTTCTACAGGAAAGTTTGTCTCTAGTACAAACCATAGTTGGAAGAAGGGGGTCAGGTTCTGAAGATGAAATTATAATGCATAATACCTGGAGAGCAGGCTGGGGCTGGGGTGGGGGTGGAGTTGAAGGGGTGAGCCAGGAGGGCAGATAGGGTTGCCAGAAACCTCAGAGCATCCTGTGAAATCTCACACCCACTATTCTCCCTGGACCTTTTCCTCCCTCCTGGCTCTGCCTGGATTTAATCTGCATAATTTACTCAATTTAGAGGGGTGGTGGCAGCTGACGATCATGGGTCCGGAGAAAAAGAGGGGAGTGGTAAGAATAGGAAAAGGTGTGAAGGGGTGTCTAAAACTGGGGATCAGAATGTTAAGAAGAGGGGATGGCTGGGGGAGATAAGGAGTCTTGGAGAGGAGTCTGGACGAAAGTTGAAGATAAAACTTTTGCCCAGCACAGTAGGGGTTACCCAGTGGCAGGGAGGGGAAAAGGGAGGGGGGTTTTTTCTAACTTAAAGATCTTAAGGCTGACTTGTGAGGGGCTGATTTGGAGGTGGGAGGAGGGAGCAGCTGTCCAAGGAGGAGACAGAGACAAGAGTCAGTGAGGAAATTCTGGCCACATCTGTCTGAGCCTTGGCTAGACAGGAGGCAAGGAAAAGAGACTGGAGACGAGCCTGTTCTCTGGCCAAGTTTGCTCCGATCCAGGGCCGCTCTGGAGACTTGGAACTTGGCATCTCAGCCCCTTGCACCAGGAGGGACAGATGCTGAGGTTCCCCAGCCACTGAAGAGCAGTTGAGTCTATTCTCTCCAACTGAGCCTCTGATACCTCAGCCCAAGCTGAAGGACCCAGAGTGCTGAGTGGGTGACTCACCCACAGGCTGGAAGTGCCTTCCTGTCTCCTTCCCTTCAGCTCCTCCTGCCCCGTGGGGTCTCAGCATGGAAGAAGGCTCTGATTTTGACACCTACTATGCAGGAGAGAACCAGACGCTGGAGTGTGAGTACACGGACTGGAAGTCCTCGGGATCGCTCATCCCTGCCATCTATATCCTGGTCTTCCTCTTGGGCACCACCGGCAATGGCTTGGTGCTGTGGACCATCTTTCGGGGCAGCCGGGAGAAGCGCCGCTCGGCAGACACCTTCATTGCCAGCCTGGCGGTGGCTGACCTGACTTTTGTGGTCACGCTGCCTCTGTGGGCCACCTACGCCTACTTAGACTACAGCTGGCCCTTTGGTGCCTTCGCCTGCAAAGTCAGCAGCTACTTGATCTTTGTTAACATGTATGCCAGTGTTTTCTGCCTCACCGGCCTCAGCTTTGACCGCTACCTGGCTATTGTCCGGCCTGTGGCCAATGCCAGGCTGAGGCTGAGGGTCAGCGGTGTGGTGGCCACTGTGGGCCTGTGGATCTTGGCCGCCCTTCTCGCCATGCCCGCCATGGTCTTCCGCTCCGTTGGAGAGCTGGAGAACAACACCAAGCTGGTGTGTTACATGGACTACTCCCTTGTGGCTGCGTCAGGGTCTGAGCTGGCCTGGGAGGTGGGGCTGGGTGTCTCTTCGACCGCTATGGGCTTTGTGATCCCCTTCACCGTCATGCTAACCTGTTACTTCTTCATTGCCCGCACCATCGCGGGCCACTTCCGGAAGGAGCGCATCGAGGGCCTGCGCAAACGCAGGCGTCTGCTCAGCATCATTGTGGTGCTCGTGGTTACCTTTGCTCTCTGCTGGCTGCCCTATCACCTTGTGAAGACCCTCTACATGCTGGGCAGCCTTTTGCACTGGTCCTGTGACTTTGACCTCTTCCTCATGAACGTCTATCCCTACTGCACCTGCATTAGCTATGTCAACAGCTGCCTCAACCCCTTCCTCTACGCCTTCTTCGACCCCCGCTTTCGAGAGGCTTGCACTGCCATGATGTGCTGTGGCCAGAGTGGGTGCTGGGGGGCTGCCCCAGCTGGGGGGGAGAAGTCGGCTAGCTACTCCTCAGGGCCTAGCCAGGGCCCTAGCCAGAACACGGGAAAGGGTGGGGAGCAGCCCCAGGAGAAATCCATCCCTTACAGTCAGGAGACCCTTGTGTCTGACCAAATCCTAGGATAAAAAGGATGAGCTATTCCCCACCCCTGAACCCAGCTCGCTGAACACTGGGAAGAGTGACTGACTCCCCCTTCCTGCTGACTTTCCTCTTGGCAATCCCCCTTCCCCCAGTTCTTTTTCTTCTATTTCCCCTACATTTCTCTCTGTTTTCCTTTCCTTTTTCTTCCTGGCCTCTGTCTTCCTCTTTTTCTCCCTTTCCTTACTCTTATCCCTAGGTGTTACCGCAGGTAATAAGAGGCAGAGCAGAGATTCGAACTTAGGTCTTGTGACTCCCAAACTAGGGCTTCTTGCTTTTCTCCTCCTTTCTGCCCACCTCAGTTTCTACTCTCTGCTTTCTTATCCTTTCATATTTTCCTTCCAAAGTCTTTCAAAGGAACTGGGAATGGAGGAGCACAAGGGAATTGTAAAGATTCTCCTCCCCCACTCCCGGAGGCCACAAAGGCTTTGTCCTGTTGCTCCTTTAGGGAGGGTTTGGAGGGAAAAGGGGGAGGGCCTGAGGAGAGAGCAAACCTGCCTGGCAGAGGAGGGGAGACAGAGTAGGATCTGATGACTCCTGGACCTTGGATGGTGATCTCAATGGCTAACTGGCCCAGCTCACTTGGGTGGCTGGCAGGGCCTCCTACACTGTAGCCCACCACTACTCCAGGCTGTCCTTGGAAATGTATTTCTCCTTTGATATTGGTCTGTCCCTCTGAATACTGGGGAAAGAAGGGGAAAGGAGGGGGATGCCTGGGACTGGGGAAACAGGACTGATGTTGGTAGTAAAATTTATAAAATCCCATTTAAGTTATAGGCAGGGGGCAATAGGGAACAGAAGAATGACTGGGCAATAGGGAACAGAAGAATGCAGGATGTAAGATGATGGGAGGCAAGGGAATTTGGGGTTCCAGTCTGAGAGCTACTTTTCTTTCTGTCTCTAAATTCTTCCCTCTACAGACCTCCCTCCCTGACTGTGTTTCCCTGGACATTTTGTAGATCCTATAAGTGTGTGTGTGTGTGTGTGTGTGTGTGTGACTTAATCATTGTCACCCCTGAATGCCTCCCCCCGCCCCATGCTCGCTGACTCCCTTGAAGCTAAGAAAGTGACATGTTATGGGAGATCTCACTCACCCCTCTCTGGCACTGGGGGCTCTGGCGGCTGGTCCGTCATTTCAGAGAGAATAGGGTTAAATGAGAGTTCCCTTTAGGCTTCTAGGATCCTTCCAGTCATTGACTCCAGAAACTGTCCTGGCTGCAGGAGGTGTCTGCAGACCTGTAGCTGCGGAGGGTGTCTGCAGACCTGTCCCTGCATGGGGCTGGTGCAATTTTCCTTTAGACTGGTGTTCCCTTTCCCTTGACCAAAGTAGGGACATGCACTCCAGGCAGGGACAAGGCTTCCCCAGGCTCATCCCGTTCTTTCCCTAGAGTGGGAGGGAGCCTCCCTCTTGCCTCTTGCTCCCGGGGGGAGCAGCTGATTTTAGAGGCCATTCCTGGAAGTGTGAGACACTGAGTCAAGTTTCAGCTCATGGGAGGATGCTGGAATGGTCTTCCTGGCTTCTCCTGTCTCTGGGATGTTTATGGAGTGGGGTGTGAACCTATGACAGGACAGGATGGTACTGTTCATGTCCATCATGAGCCCTAGAGAAAGCAATACTTCTTTACGCCTTTTGGGGGTGGGGAACAATTGGGGGTGTTGGCCCCAGAGAACTCTGGGAATCAAGACCCAGGTATAAGAACTCCCTCTTGGGCAAAGATACAGAAGCAAGAAAAGCTCAGCTCAGTCTCCATGATCATGTTGGCCACCTCTGGGAGGTGGCAAAGGCCAAAGAACTGAGGCTGGGAGAGAAGGGAAAAGGGTTCCTCGGAAGCAGGCTCCGACTCAACTGCCTTCTCCTACTCCAGACTCTGCATTTGATTTGATTTCTGCAGGCACCTGTGCCCAGCCTGCTGATGCCCCCAAACCAACCACTCCAAGAGCCGGGGTTTGGCCCTCCTGGCCTGGGAGGGGAAGGCTGTTTCACCCTAAAGCCCTGCTTCTTGGACTGAAGTGATGCCCAGGATTCATCTGAAGACACTGGGGAAGCTTCTGTGGACTGAATTCTTATACCTGTTAGCAGTTACACTGTCAGCACCTGAGAGGAGGGGCTTCTGGAGCTTCCCCTCTCCCCATCAGGAGTAGTTGTCATTTTCCTATTTAGTTTTGTCATTGTGATTAATAAAGTACATCTGTTCTGAGTGTGTGTCTAGTAGCCAAAGTATTCCATCTTGCACAGGGTGTTGGGATAGGGAAGAGAAAGCGAGACAGCCAGATCCAGGGTGCAAAGTGCAGTGGAGGAGGGAAGAGGGAAAGAGAAAAAAGGAGAGGGAGAGAAGCAGAAAGGCAAGAAGCACAGCGAGGGGGAAAGGAAGACGGAGAGGGAGCAAAGTGAGGGGGAGAGGGAACGGGAGAAAAGGGGACAGGGAAAGGGAAGAAAGGGGAGGGGGAGAAAGCAGGGGAAGAGAGGAGGGATGGGAAAGAGGGAAAGAGAAGCAGGGCAAGGGGGAGAGATGGAAAGAAGAAAGGAGAGGCAGATAGGGAAGCAGGTGTAAGGGGAAGAAAGGGATAAGAAAAGAGGGAAGGGAAGAAGGGAGATCTGTAAAGAGGGAAAGATAGAGGAAGAAAGAAAAAAAGGGGAGAGGAAGGGGAAGGGAGAATGAGATAGAGGGAAGGAGGGAAGGACATTGTAAGTGTGGGAGAGGAAAATAAGAAGGAAGAGGGAGAGAAAAAGAGAAGGGAAAGGGAGAGGGAGAGGGAAAGAGGAGGAAGAAATAGAGGATGAGAGGGATGGAAAGAGACACTGAGGAAGAGGATAGGAAGCAGAGAGGAAAAGAGGGAAGGAGAGAGGTGGAGGGAGAAACGGAGGAGGAATAAGGAAAAAGAGAAAGGAAGAGAGAGAGAAAATAAGAAAGGAAGGAGGAAAGAAAGATAGGAAAAGGGAGAGGGGGGAAAGGGAAAGAGAAGAAGCAAGAGAAAGTGAGGAGAGGGAGACAGAGAAAAAGAAAAGAAGAGACAGAGGAGAGTGGAAGACAAAGGGAACGGTACTGGTGAGAGGGATCTTGAAGAAAACAGAGGAAGAAAGTGAAGGGAAATAAGTGGGAAATAGAGGAATGAAGAACAAGAAGGATGGAGGGAAAGCAAAGAAGAGAGGGGAGTTCAGGGACTGATAGGAAAGAAGGGAAGGAAGGAGGGGGGAGAAGAGCTAGAGTTGAGGGCAAAGAAGAGGCAAAGCCAACTTCTATGAGCAGAAGTCTACTGGTGGGCACCATGGGCTGGGGTTGGGGGAAGATGCTGGGCAGGGGGCTTTGGGTGTGGAAAGAAGTGGAGAACCACAAAACAGCTTCACACAAATCTGAAGAGAATGGGGATGGTGCTGGGGAAAACAACAGCTGTATCTGATTAACCCTATTTCCTTTCCCGATAAAGAGGGGAAGGCCAGGATGGAATCCCAGATTTCCTGCCTACCTGCCGGGATACAATTCCTCTTACCCTGTACTGGCACTGGAAAGCTCTTTGGGTCTACAGTGGTAAGGAATAGTGACAGACAATTTAAAGATACTTGGGGAATAGAGTCATAGTGGACAGGGAGAGATCATGAGCAGCTAGGCTGAGGAATAAAGAGGAAGAAGGGAGGAGACAAATAGTGGAAAGCACCCAGGGGCAGAAGAAACCACCTGGGATGGCTGAAACAACCACAGGTGGGGAAGGAAAAAAAAGAAGAAAAAGAAGAGGAGGGAGGGGAGGGGAGATGGGGGAAGGGGGAAGGGGAAGGAGAAAGAAAGGAAGGTTTGCACTGTGTGGGGGGTTGTAAAGTATATGAAGACTGGAAAGGTGGGCATTGGCCAGGTTGTTAAGGGCATTAAATGCCAAAGAGAAGACTTCAGATTTGATCCTGGAGGTAATAGGGAGCCCCCTAGAGATTATTGAGTGGGAGGGTGATGCCTTCAGACCTGTACTTAAGAGGAATCACTTTGGCAGCTGAGTGGAGGATGGACTGGAGTGGGGAGTAGGCACTGTCTCCACAAACGCCTTCAAAAACACTAACAAACAATAAAAAAACCAGATATTCAATGGACAAGAAAACTTGATCAGGACATTAAATTGGCACCGGACTAGAAAAGTGACAAACTCATCCCTTACACTGCCTCTGATGCTGACTACCTTGTGTTGGCTTGGTAAAGTTACCTCACTTTTCTGTGCCTCAGTTTCCTCATCTGTAATGGAATCATTTACAACAGAGAAAACAAATGTTCAAAGATGGGATTTTTTTATTTAATCTTGGAGTTGACAGGGAGCTACAGGAGTTTATTGAGTAGGTGGGTGACATAGTCAAAACTGCCCTCTAGGAAAATCACTTGGTGGTTGAATGGAGGATGGATTGGCATGGGGAGAGACTTGAGGCAGGCTGACTCAGCAGCAGCTACTGCAGTTGTCCAAGTGTAAGGTCATAAGGGTCTGTGCTAGAGTGGTGGCAGTATCAGAGGAGAGTATTTTTGAGTGCTGTGTGCAAGGCAACGTAGAAGAGAGAAAGTGATGGAGTTGATCGTTGGAGTCATGAAACTCCTAATTGTTGTTATTGATTATGAGAGCTGAAAGTGCTGTTATGACTTTCAGGCTTTGTGCGTATGGTTTTTCTTTTTCTTTTTCTTTTCCTTTTTTCTTTTTTCCAGCCAGAGACAAGTTTATTAAAGATCCACCATATTGGCCAGACTCTTAAGGAATCTGAACATTTGTGAGCTGTTGACTGGGTTCTTAAGAATTCTGACCTTAATGGAGACAAGATGGACCTTACATACAGAAAGACTGTGGGAAGGATCTAGGAAGGATCTTGATGGCATATGGTTTTTCTTTCCATTAATTGCAACTCCTCCACACTTGAGTTAGACAGTTATTGTTTTTTTTTTAAATATTTTTATTGATTTTTTTGTCAGCGTCACCTTTATTTCCAAATATGTCCTTCTCCTTCCCCTCCCCAGAGAAATATCCCTTGTAATAAAGATAGAAAGAAAAAAAAGAAAAAAAGAAAGAAAAAAAGAAAAAAGGAATGCTATTCAACAAAACGAATCAATATCTGCTAAGTCTGAAAGTACGTGTATATCCTAAACTCCCCACTTCTGCAAAGGAGAGACATGCATTTTTCTTCTTTTCTACCTTGATCATTATAATTACTTAGAATTTTTTCCTTCCTTCCTTCCTTCCTTCCTTCCTTCCTTCCTTCCTTCCTTCCACCATTCAGACCTGCTTAGGAGTAGAATGCCATGTCAATGTATCACCTTGTCAGGAGCAGCTAGATGGTGCAGTGGGTAGAACTGGACTTGGAGTCAGAAAGATCTGAATTCAAATTCTGCCTCAGACATTTATTAGCTTTGTGACCCTGGGCAAGTCACTTAACTGCTCTCAGCCTCAGTTTCTTCATCTGCGGAATGGGGATAATAAGAACATCTACCTCTCAGGGTTGTTGTGAAGATCAAATAGGATGACATGTGAAGTGCTTTGCAAACCTTAAAGTCATATGTAAATGCTCACTATATTTAAAGATCTTTGGTGCTGCCTAGTACAGTTTCATGGTCCGGTCTGAGATGTTTTCCAGGAATCATAGTAGAATTTAGAGTTGGAAAGAACTGAAGGTCTACCACTCTCATTTTGTAGCTGAGACTCAGAAAGGAAAAGCACTCTGCCCAAGGTCACATGGCTAGGAAGCTGTTGCTCAGTCATGTCTGGGTTTTCTTGGCAAAGATACTGGAGGAGGTTGTCATTTCCTTCCCCAGCTCATTTGACAGATGAGGAAACTGAGGCTAATGAGGTTAAGTCACTTGCCTAGGGTCACACAGCTGTCTGAAGCCAGTTTTGAACTCAGGAAGATGACTGTGTACTCTCCACTATGGCGCCACCTAGCTGCTCCGGGCTGGAGAGCAACAAAGCCAGGATTCAAAATGAGCTCCTCTTCTTCCTGCTGCCAAACAGCCAATTAATCGCAGGCACTAATCCGAATAGAATCCCATCTTTGAACATTTGTTTTCTCTGCTGTAAGTGATTCCATGACAGCAAAAACATAGCAATTTACTGAAAAAAATACAATAGACTGGAATATAGTCTGGAAGGAGCTTTCCTAGTCAGTGGCATGGAGGTATGGTACAGAGGAAAGAGAATGAACTCACAGTTCAAAGCCTGCCTTTGATATTCACTAGCTGTGTGAACGTACTTAACTTCTTGGGCCTCAGTTTCCAGCTTTGTAAAATGAAGGGATGGGAATAGATTGACTCTAAGCTTCCATTTATCCTCAAGTCCATTTTTCAGAGGAGAAAACTGGGACTGGAAAATCAGATGAGATTGACCCAAGGTCATGCATGGAGCAAGTTGCAGAATCAGGATTTGAACCCAGGTTCCCAAACCCCAGAGCCAGGACTCTTCTTCATCATACTTTCTCCCCTCTTCTGCCTGACTTTTAGATGTATGAAAGAGCTACTCAGGGAGAATTTCTCTTCTTGACTTCAAGAATGTCTGGATTGGGTTCTTGGTAAGGTTTGAGAACATCTTGTTTCTTTTTTCCCCTGGTAATATCAATAATATTGATGATAATAACAATAACCAATATCTACATAACAGTTTAAAGCTTGCAAAGCACTTCTTATTTGAGCCTCACAATCATTCTGTAAGGTCGGTACCTAAGGTCAGTACCTACTGCATATATTTTTCTCGTATTTACACACAGACACGATTGCCTCTCCCAGTCCTGTCTTTGTATGCCTGATCAACTAGCCAGTCATTCAGTCATTTATTAAATGCTTACCATGTGCCAAGCACTCTACCATCCCTGCTTTGAATAAAACGCTTTTCTAATGGGAGAAGACAATGCATTAACAGAAGCCGAAATCGGGGAGGAGCAAAGGTATTCAGTGCAAGAACGTGGTAGAGAAGTCCCACGTGCAGCCTGGGCAGGAATGAGATGTGGCTGGCCTGGGCGCCCTTCTCGGATGGAGCTTCTGGGATAAAGCATCTAATTATTTGGAAAGTTGTTGGTCCTTTGTTCTCAAAGAGGACCAATGACATCGGGAGGGTGATGTCTTGACTTGGAAGTGAATTGAATTTAAGTGAGGCAGAGCTGTGCAGAGCCATCAGCTCCACTCTCTCCTCCAGAGTCATTGGGGTCCATTTGGAGAGGCCATAGGGGCAAAGAATGTGTGAATTTCAGGGGGTGA